AGAGAAATGCAAATGTATGTAAATATTCATAGATCATTATTCATAAAGACAAAAAGGAAGTATGGTCCATGCAGAGAGTAGACTATTATCCAATAATAAAAGGAGAAGGGGTAGGGTGAACGGGTCTATGGTGAAGATGGTTTTACCAAAGACCTGAGTTTGAACCTCAGAACACATATGGTGGATGGACAGTATCGAATCCTACAAGTTGTCCTCTAACCACCAGCGCACTCTTACCATGAAATAAATAAATGTAAACATATATAAAAACATATATACACATAGACATATATATAAGCTTATTTATGTGTATATATATATATATATATATAAACTTACATATTATATATAAACTTTTTTATATATACGCATCCCACTGTAAACAGTCCCTACCGGACCAAGCTCCAACTCTCTCCAGAGGGGCGAAACTGAGGCGCGGGCTTGCCTCACCAACCAGCCCCAGATCACGCCTCATCCCCGCAGGCCTGTTCCCGCGCTGTCCATCCGGAGGCCTCCGCACTCAGGCCCCGGGTGCCGTTGCCCCAGGCAACCACGGACGGACACTACACATCCCATGGGCCACCGTGGTCCTCCCACCAATGAGCGCTCCAGTCACAATCGCGAGGTGTCATGGGAGTGGTAATTCCGGAGCGCGCCCGGCATGCACCGCGCTCAGGAGACCCGAGGGACCGCAGGTCACAATCGCGAGGCGTGACGGGAGTTGTAGTTTTGGGGCCGACCGGAGGGTGGGCGCAGAGAGGAGCGGGAGTCGTGCACGCGCCCATGGCTCATACTGGGGTGTGGCTTTGTGCCTTCTCCGTGCTGCCGGTGGCGCTGGCTGCTGTCTACTTCCAGGAAGAGTTTCTAGACGGAGGTGAAGGGCGATAGCTGTGGCGCCTAGTAGCCTGTGTGCCCCTGACCCCGTACAGTTTGCAGAGCTAACCTTCCTGTCTCCTACAGAGCGTTGGAGGAACCGCTGGGTGCAGTCCACCAATGACTCCCAGTTCGGGCACTTCAGAGTCTCGTCGGGGAAGTTTTATGGGCATAAAGAGAAAGACAAAGGTTAGTGTAGAATCAGGAGCCAATGAGTGGCGTTAGGTACCCCCACAGCACGCTGACAGTCAGCCATGTCCCAGGCCAGGATGCCGAGGAACCTGCCAGCTCGCTTTGCCTTGTTTAGGTTTCCATTTGTTTACGATTGGGTGGGGTTTTTGGTTTTGGTTTTTGACACAATCTTGTGTAGACCCAGACAGGCCCTAACTGGCAGCAGTCCTGCCTCAGCCTCCCCTCCCAAGTGCTGGTTATTTTTATAGATCTGTGTGTGTTTTGGGGTGTGTGTTCATCCAATCATTCTTAACCTTTTTTAAAAAATGACGTCTGTCGTGGCTGGAGATGGTTCAGCGGTTAAGAGCACTGACTACTCTTGCAGAGGACCCGGGCTCGAGTCCCAGCACCCACATGGCGGCTACAAACCGTCCTTAACTCCAGTTCCCGGGGAATCCGAAGCCCTCTTCTGACCTCCACGGCATTGCACGACACGGGTGCACTCATACACACAGGCAATACACTCGTACACATAAAATGACGTGTTCCCCCCTCAACTTGTTTATTGTGTGTGTATACGTGCTAGGGCGCACATGGAGGTCAGAGGACAACTTGCTGGAGTCTCTCACCATGTAGGTCCTGGAGATGGTCATCAGGCTTAGCGGTGAGTGCCTTTACTCACTGAGCCATCTGGCTGGACCCTTCACCTTACTTTTTGAGACAAGGTCTCTCACTGAACTTGGAGTTTACTGATTCTGGGACACTAGCCAGTGAATTCCAGGGATCCTCTTGCTGTGACTCCCCTGGAGGGGGGATGGCAGGGGTGGGGGATGGGGGGTGGTACACTCTATGGGTGTCCTGAGGACCCCAGGTCAGGTGCTCATACTTATCCTAGCAGGAACTTTATCCACTGAGCCACCTTCCCAGCCATGTATTTTGTTTGTTTGGTTTGGTTTTTTTCAGACAGGATCTCCCTGTAGCCCCAGCTGGCTTGGAACTCTCTATGTAGACCAGGATGGCCTCCAACTCATCCGCCTGCCTTTGTCTCCCAAGTGCTGAGACTAAAGAGGTGGGCTACCATGCCTGGTGTGTTTTGTTTTTAAGACAGGGTTTCAGGTAGCCCAGGCTTGCCTTGATTTCAGTACTAGCCAAGGAGGACCTTGACTGCTGCCTGCACTTACTGAGTGTGGGATGACATCTATGGGCTGCCAACAGGAGCTCTTTAGCTTCTCTTTCAGTACCTACCCAAGAGCACCTTGCATCATAGGATCTAGGCAAATGATCAGGGTGTGGCTCATAACTGTGAGCCTAACACTACAGAGGCCTCACCAGGCAGGAGAATCATGAGTTCGAGGCCAGCCTGAGATACAGCAAGACATTGCTTCAATAAAAGGAAAAGAGCTGAGAGTGGTGGCATAGCCTTTATCCCAGCACTTGGGAGGCAGAGGCAGGCAGCTCTCAGTGAAAGTAAGGCCAGCCTGGGCTACACAGTGAGTTCCTGGCCAGCTGGGACTACAGGAATTCCCTGCCTCAAAAAGCCAAAAAGAACAAAGATGAAGAGATGAAGAGAATGAGGAAAAGGATGAGGAGGAATGAAAAGTGGGCCTGGCGAGATGACTCTGGGTAAAGGCATGCTCCAGCCTTGGTTTGATGCCCAAGACCTAGGTGGTAGAAGGAGAGAACTAGTCCTCTGATCTCCACACCCTCAATGTGGCATGTGTGCATACGTGCCTGTATGTACATGCACACAATAAATGTAGGGGAAAAAATGGAGCCAATTATGGTGGCCTAGCATTCCGGCAGTTTGGATGGGAAGATTGTGAATTTGAGGCCAGCCTGGGTTATATAACAAGACCCTGTTTCAAAGTAGGAAAAAAAATGTTCAGGCTCAGCAGGTAAAGGTGCTTGCTGCCAAACCTGATGACCCAAGTTTGATCCCTAGAACCCACATAATGTGGAAGAAGAGAACCCATTCTCACAAGTTGTCTTGTGACCTCCATTCATGCCCCAACTCCACAAAATAAATAAATAAAACAGGGCTGGAGAGATGGCTCAGCAATTAAGAACACTGACTGTTCTTGCAGAAGACCCAGGTTTGAATCCCAGCACCCACATGGCAGCTAACAGCTGTCTGTAACTCCAGTTCCAGGGGATCCGTCAGCCTTTTCTGTCCTCCTTGGGCATTGCACGACACAGGTGCACTTACTAACATGCACGCATACCCATAAAATAAAAATAAATAAAATATTTTTTAAAAAAATACAATCCTAACACACAGGAAGCAGAGGTAGGTGGGTCTCTGTGAGTTCCAAGTCAGTGTGGTCTACATAGTGAGTTCCAGCCAGCCAGGGCTCCATAGTGAGACCCTGCCCCCACCCCTCCACAAAAAAGAAAGGTGACAGGCTTGCACAAATTGGAGAACTCCGATGTAGTGTTACATCGGCACTCCCAGGTCAAGGTCAGGAACTTCTGACTCCTCCGCCGTACATCTCTTTTGGCTTTCTCTTTGGTTGATGAAGGTCTGAGAGTCGGCCAATGAGCCAATGAAAGTGACTTAGATTTTGCAGTCGGTAGGGGGAAAAAAATGAAAGAAATAATGTTGAGTAACCTGTAAAGTTATATAAAATTCAATTGACTGTATAAAAGTAGAATGGAATTGAATATACATAAACGTTTTGGGTGGGGACTAGGGCTCAGTTGGTAGAATACTTGTAGCTCAATTGTTAGAGTGCTTGTAGCTCAGAGTGCTTGTCTAGCATGCATGAAGTCCTGGGTTCTTTTCTCAGTACAGCATAATTGGAGCATAGTGGTATATACCTGTTATCTAGCGCTCAGGAGGTGGAGGCAGGAGGATTAGAAGTTCAAAGCCCTCCATGCCTCATAGCAAGTTTGAAGACAACTTTGGCTACATGAGACCTTGTCTGAAAAAAAAAAGTTAGTTTTGCTTTTGCTTGTTTGTCTAAGACAGATTCTCTGTATCCCAGGCTGGCCTAGAACTCAAGATCTTCCTACTTCAGTCTTCCAAGGGCTTGAATCACAGGTGTGTGTCACAGTGCTTGGCAAGTGTCTGTAAAGTTTTATTGAAACAAGGTCACATCTGCTAATTTACATATTGGTGCACAATAGCCACTTGAATGTTGCAGTCAGTCAAATAGTTGGGACAGGAACAACTAACCTAGTAGTTTAAAATATTCACCATTGGGCTGGGTGTGATGGCGCACACCTTTAATCCCAGCACTTGGGAGGCAGAGGCAGGCGGATCTCTGTGAGTTCAAGGCCAGCGTGGTCTACATAGTGAGTTCCAGGACAGCTGGAGTTACAGGGAGACCCTGTCTCAAAAAGAAAACAAAAAAGATGAGATGTGATGACTCACTATAACTTTCCAAATAGTCCTGAAACCTTAGTTTTTCTTAGCCTCTTGTCTTCCTAGAATTTGAATATAGATGTAACAGATTTGTTTTTTGTTTGTTTTGTTTGAGACAGGGGCT